AGGGAGAGGGAGAGGGAGAGGGAGAGGGAAAGAGGAGGAGGAGGAGGTGGGAGAGGGAGAGGGAGAGGGAAAGAGGAGGAGGAGGCAGAGACTGAGGGAGGGAGACTGAGGGAGGGAGACTGAGGGAGAGAAGGGGCAAGAGGATGATCAGAGCGAAGAAAACAATGATAGAGATCAACACAGTGAGAAGTACTTGAAGTTTGACGGAACATTCTCTCTGAAAAATTGCAGATCCTGCTGAAGATGATCTCCCTTTCCCATTGTACTTCAGTTTTGGAAATGTTCCGTGTTTCAAAACTTTCCTTACTTTTTTCTATTCTGCCCAGACACTACCTAGACGGTTTTTCTGTAGTGAAATTTTGTACGCAAGTGGCAACAAATGTAATGACTCTTTATCTTTGCACTGACGCAGTCACAACTTGTGGGCTCGTGGATGCGTAATGTACAATAATAACTTCGTACATTTAAACCGTTTGTCGAAACATATTGTAACTAATTGTCGGATGCAGGTGTGAGCGTAAAGCACAATGGACTTGGACAATGGGAAAAGAATCGCAAATTTCAGTCGCTTGATTCTATTGTAATGAAATATAGTATTAAACGGACTGTTCCATAATCTGTTGATGGAGGCTCCTTATGTTTGTATATATATAACTGTACTGTCAGGAAATCCAAGAACAGTGAAACTAGTCTTCAGTGGTGAGTATTAGTGGCAGGGAAAATTAAATGTTAATGCAGATGGCGGTTAATAAAGGTTCTGAGAATATGAGATGCGGACATTCGGTCTAATATTGCTATTTGCAAGCAAAGTAGTTTAACTATTCTTTGCTTTTAAGCCCCTTGTAAATTGCACTGAAAATATGAAACACCGAAATATTTATTGCACGTGAATATTTTATTTGTTTATAAAAACATTGTTTCCCTTTTTGGTTCAAAGACAACTGTTTAAATTTTTCATGTATTTTATTATCATATAGACGTGTTACATTACAGTTCTGAAGAAACATCAGATCTTGTTTGGAAATTACGTAGATATTTATCATCTGAAACAGAAATTAATCCTCCCGGGAAATGGAGATCTATATTTCACTATTCCGGGTAATGTGACAATGCGTCCCGACTCAGGAAGATTCTGAATCATCAGAAAGTTTGAACAATCAGCCGCCGCTTATAGTGCAATAGCTCAAAATTGCAGAATCATTAGAAAGTTATGACAGTGCAATATAGGTTAAACTATGAAATGTGGATGGCAGCTGACCGCGGGCTCAGGTAGTCGCTTTAAAGAGAGCATATGCATGAATCTTTTAGAAAACCTGTCGGTTCCACAAAACAATTGCCTTTAAAGAACGTGAGAGCTCAATTGAGGAGATCACTTCATCCACACGTATGGTATAGAATATTCCTGACGGTGTTTTAGTTTTCGTGTACATCATCACATGAGAATGCTTTTACCTACTGTAGAAATCAAAATTTTGGAATGTAAAGGCCGGAATTTTGCCTAAAAGTAAGCTTTATATTTTAGTTAGGGTGTGGTTTTCTTTCCCTTTTTTCGTTTTTTTTAGTTTTGGGGTATGTTCTTATGAACGTATTACCTGTTTTTCTTTGCACAACCCTAATTTTTTAAAATATGGGCCGGAACAAATTTTTCCTGTAGCCTTTAAATTATCTTTTAACTTTGGATTAATTTTTGTTATCTTCCAATAATGCAAAGTTGTATTTTCTTGGTGGGCGCTGCTAGCTTAGGTCTAAAGGTAGTAGTGCCATTGATTATGGGAAATTCACTAGAGCCTAAAATCTAGGAATCGGGCACTTAATTAGGCTAAAACTATCCTTTAATTTGGGATATTATTTTCCTGTGTTTGGATTTTGCGCGCTGCGAGCTACAGAGGCTCTGCGGAGTCATCTCCGGCCCTCCGTGAATACGAGGGGCTCCCGGGTTTGCGCTCAAGCACTCCCATCCTGCTTTGGAAGAAGGTACAGTTTTCTGCCCTCTCCTCTGGCCCAGAAAGCTCTGCAACGCAAGCACAATGTAAACTATGTGGACCGTCCCAGCGCAGAAAAAAAATTCAAAGGAACTCTTTTTAATATTTGATTTTTTTACATTTTAATCACGATAATAGTATATAAAAATAAATAATAAAAAATAACTATATTCATATCGTGAGGCAAAGTGTAACAAAGTATTTTTAATCAACGTGGATATACTCCTGAACTTACATGGAAACAAGTGTATCAATATAGAACGAAAATTTGGTTCTTCGAACTACACTAATTGTATTTAATTTAATATTATTTTAAAATATTACATAAGATGATATCTCAGTGCATGAACTATACTACTCTGCTATAACAGACGTGAAGAGGACTTATCTACGACGTTGCGCCGTCATGTGATTAGCGCCTTTGTGCAGAAGTGTATTCATTTCAGCTTTAATAAACGTCGTGTGCGCTACTTGCTTCTTTATATTACCCTTTCTTTTAGGCATCAAAATAGTGTAAACAGCGCAGCTTCCTTTCACTCTTGATTAACTCTTTCAATATCCTACTATTGGTACCTTGTTGCCTCCTTTATCTTTAATTTTAAAGAACAGCTTTAACTCTCACGCTGAAAATAGATGATTTGTTCTTCGATCACCAAACTCCACTACATACTTTTTTTTATTTAACGTAAAAAATAGTTAACTATTTGGTACGTTCGGGAGTGAGAAACGCTACACTTAATTAGGTTCAAAACTGGAGAAAATTAACAATTCCACAATGAAAATTAAACACTCCTTTGCCTGTATTCGAATACATATGTTGTCTAAAGCAGCATTTGTTCAAATTTTTCCTAACTTCTATGAGCGCCTTTACCTTCCTTACTTGCGTGCTGCCCACGGCTGATCCTGTGGGCCTCGTTTGGTTGAGGCCCGGGAGCGCGCGCAGCGCCGTACCCCTACCGTCCCCGCACTACCATCACCC